TTTTTGTTTAGTAGAGATGGGGTTTCTCCATGTTGGTTAGGCTGGTCTCAAACTCCCGACTTCAGGTGATCCACCCGCCTCGGCCTCCCAAAGTGCTGGATTAAAGGTGTGAGCCATCGCGCCCGGAGGAAATAAAAGGCAGGGTTTTTTTTTGTTTTGTTTTTTTGAGACCGAGTCTCGCTCTGTCGCCCACTCTGGAGTGCAGTGGCGCCATCTCGGCTCACTGCAAGCTCCGCCTCCCGGGTTCACGCCATTCTCCTGCCTCAGCCTCCGGAGTATCTGGGACTACAGGCGCCCGCCAGCACACCTGGCTGATTTTTTGTTGTTGTTGTTGTTGTTGGTAATTTCAGCAGAGACGGGGTTTCACTGTGTTAGCCAGGACTGTCTCGATCTTCTGACCTCGTGATCCGCCCGCCTCGACCTCCCAAAGTGCTGGGATTACAGGCGTGAGCCACCGCGCCCGGCCCCAAGGCAGCTTTTAAAGGGATGTGCAACCCCAGTTGCTTTCTGGGCGGCCTTAGCAGCAGAAGCACCTGCAGTCAGCGCTCACTAGGTGGAGACAGAGTCCCCGAGATGCCGACAGCAGCCTCACTCGCTCCAGAACGCCAGGCTCCTGGGTCCCGGTTCCGAGGGCTCCTGTTCTAGAAATAAATGTCCGGGACCCCAGCTCCCCTTCCAGACCAGCCAGAGTCTGTCCCCACTGATAACTCACGTTTATAGCGTCATGGTGTTTAGAAGGCTGGTTCACATCGTTCCTCTAGTCGGCTGCACACTCGTCCTGAGGATGGGTGGACCAGGTATTGCTGACCCCAGTCTTATGATTGAGGAAGTGGAGCCGTCGGGAGCCTTTGAGATGCAGTGAAGGTCACGCGGTGCACAGCAGAGCTGGCCTCAAACCCAGGTCCCCTCGACTGAATCCCAGATTCGACCACATCTCAGCTGCCCCTCTTCTCTGGGGTGCACCGCATGGCAGCCACCAGGCTATTTGGCATCAGAGTGGAGCCTGGATGCTTGGTTCCTTGGGTCTGCATGCTGCACCCTGATGGGGCCCATCTGGTCTTCAGAGAGCTGCTGTGCCCCAAGGCCAAGGCCCAGCTCTGCCTCAGGGGATTTGAGGGCACTCAGAGATGCAGGCAAGGACAGCGGTGTGTTTGTGGGCACTTTCGTACCCCAGAATGGGAGAACCGGCGGGGCTTGACCACACGGGAGTCGTCTCCCCAGACATCCCTGGGTGTGTGAGTGCTGGGGGGAAGTGGGGACTGGCGTCGAAGGTCTGACTTAGACCTGCCTGGTAAAGGCTGAGAATGAAGGAAAGCCTGTATTCCCAAAGTTGCCAGCAAATTCTGGACAAGCAGGTGAATGAGGCAGAAGAGCTGAGAGCAAAAAAGCAGTTTCAGTTCCACTTAGGGAATGGCTTCCTTTCTTGTGGCAAGGGGTAGAAGTTATGGGAACACACAACAGAAACTGTCAAACCTGGCTGGCTGGGGGTACGTGGGGTGGCCATCTCCTCGATGGACAGCATGCCTGAGACACCGCCTACCAGCTGTGGAGTCACAGCCTCAGTTTGCCCATCTGTAAAATGAGGCCAGCGCGCGGCACCTCATCCCACAAGTGAAGGCTGAACGGCAGCATTCTGAGTGTGCTGTGAATAGCAGATTCTTCTGGTTGGTGAGCTGTTGTGTGTTGGGTGCTCCCACTCTGTCACAGAGTCAGAATAAGAGGAGCCCCGTTGGGTGCCGGGGTAGGTATGGCTGAAGCCAATGATTTCTCATGTCGTCTGGCCCTGGAGACTCAGTCAGGGTGGTGGGTAATGGGCCCGGTGCCAGGCTGCATCTCTGCACCCCACCTCCCTAGGAAGACATGAGGGAACGGGTGCAGCCAGCCGGTGTACAGTTGGGAGCGGCTGAACGCAGCGTGGCTTTGCTATTAATGTAGTCAGTAAATAAATAAAGGAGGGCTTAAGCTTAGTGTACAGCAATCAGTTTAGAACTACAGGGTAATTAGCGCTGCAGGGGGCCGCAGGGCTGCAGAGTCAGGTTTAAATGAGCGAGTTCACTTTCACTGAGGCACCCCCTGGGGAGCAGAAAACGCAGCCTGGAGAGGAACCTGCCCTCCTGCCAGCCCATGAGTGGAAGTGGGGATGGCGGCGGGGCTGGGCCTGAAACCACACAGAGAGCTGGGGGATGGACCTGCCCCCGTGGGCCAAGGACCAGGTGTCTACATGTGCACCCCCTCACCCGCTTTCCTGCCCCACATCCTGCCCAGCAACACCCAGGCAGCTCCCAACTATGAAGTGCCACTGCCCTGTTGCCTCCTGCTCCTTCTTCTGGCATGTGGCAGACACGGGTCAGTCAGGTGGTCTATGAATCGACATGAGCACACGTGTGGGGATGCAGGAGTCCCCCACTGGGCCTCTGCCGCGTGTGTACACGTGTCCTGGGGAGGTGCCCGAGTGCGCATGTGATGTTCCTCCATCCCTGCTTTCACTCGCCCCTGACAACTGCAACATGCGCCCTGGAGTGCTAATTACCTCTCTGTTTCCCTCCGTCTCCCTCTCCTTCTTTCAGCCATTTATACAACAAAGATTTACCAGGTGCCTGTCATGTGCCAGGCAGCGTGAGGCTCTGGGAACACAAAGATAGACAGCACACAGTTCCTGACCTCAGGGAACTGACAGTCTGGTCGTGGTGACAGTGAAGGAAACAGGTGACTAAATGGTGCTATAGAGACTCTGTGCCCAATTCAGCTTCTGGGGTCCAGGGAAGGTTTCCTGAGAAGGTTTGAGCTGAAAAGTGAATAAGGAGAAGTTGAGAGAGCCAGACAGAAGGGGGCTGTGTGTTCGTGCAGCTCTCAGAAGAGGAAACTGCACGCGCACAGGCCCACAGGGGCATGGAGCTCGGTGCGGCCCAGGACACCCGTGGTCCCATCGGCGGAAGCAGAGTAGGGGTTGGCCGAGGGGCTCAAGAGTGATCCTGAGACGAAGTTGGGGTACTGAGCAGGGGCTCTGTCACGGAGGGTGTCTTGGAACTTTGTTAAGGAGTTTGAATTCCATCCTCAGAGTACTGAGGAGTCACCGGGGACTCTCATCCAGGGAGCGACATGATACTATTTGCATTTCTGGAAAATCGCTCTGGGCGGCAAACAAAGCAGAGGATGGAAGCGAGAGAGAGGGTCTGGGCCGAGGCAGAGCACTGAGGTCAGTCATCTTCAGATCCCCAGTCCCCTCCCTTCCTGGTGCCAGGGCAGTGAGGGGCTCCCACGTGGGAAGGCCTGGCCGTGCTGAGTGGAGGGAGGCAGCCTTGGCCTTGGCTTCCCTTACGCCTCTTCTCATGGGCTGCAACTTGCTCGAGTCTTCAGCAAGCCTCTGCTGGCACCGGGCCTCCGCTCTCCACCTTGGGCAGGGGAGGAGTCCCTCAGAGCCACTGGGAGGAGAGCTGCTAAGGCTGACATGACCCAAACGCCTCCTTGAACGCAGCCAAGACGACGAGGCATGCAGGGAGCTCCTGCTTAAGGTCCCTGGAAAACACCCTACAGCCCTGCGGTGGCATCTTCCCAGCCCCTGCCTCGGTGCCTGTCCCCTCTTCTGACCCCAGCAATGTGCCCTCCTGGCGAGTGTGTTCTGGAGGAGGCTGCCCACAATTGCCAGGACTGGGGCAGAGGGCAGCGGTGGCCGGGGCTGGCAGGGGGCGGCAGTGGGGCCGCCTGCCCCGGGCAGGGAGGAGAGGGGTTGAGTCAGGCCACGGAGGGAGCATTCTCAGGCTGGTCTGGCCAGGGCCCCTTTCTCTCCATGAGATCATATCTGGGTCAAAGAGCATGTAAAGCTGGCAGAGCCGGCGGTCACACAAAGCCCATTCAGCCCAGCCCCTATTCACTCACCTCCTCTCCCCAGCGCCCGCGCCGCCGCGACCCCAGCACAGCGCCTAAGCCCCAGCTTTGATGTCCAAGAACAGAAAACGGCGATTAAATGTTGTTTTAAAGAGGGAGTGCTCACTGCCCTCCCATCTGTCAAGAGAAAGCTGAGGCCTGAGGGAGGAGAGGGAAGCTGGGGGAGGGGCGAGGAGGCGTGTGTGTGTGTGTGTGTGTGTGTGTGTGTGTGTGTGTGTGTGTCAGGGAGTTGCAGCAGAGTGTAGGGGTGAGGAAATAGGCAGGGGCCCAAGAAAAGCTGGGATCAGGATGGCTTGGGGGAATGGAAGCAACAGCTCAAAAAAAACATAGAATTTTGGTTAAGGACTGGTTTCTCACATGAGAAATATGTGGAGAGGGAAAATAAGGTGGGACAGAGAAACAAAAGCAAAAAGAAAGGAGAAAAGACAACAGATGAGGAAGAGAGGTGAGGAGTGGAAAGGAGAAAAAAGACTGGGAGAGAGGAAAAAGGTGAGGGGCAGGAGGGATGAAGAAAGCAGAGCAGGCGGCAAAGAGGGAGGGGAGAAAGCAAAGACAGAGAAGCAACTTTTAAGGGCTGGAGGCCCCCGGGTTGCACCTGTTCCTCCTCTTCGGACGATTGTCCTGGGGTAAGGGTAGCTCCAGGTGGTTCTCTGCTCAGCAACCCCAGGGTCGGACAGACCCCGGCCTTGGGACCAGGAGAACAGAGCTGAAAGGTAACCCTCCCAGTGCCACCCCTGGCAGGCCGGGCCTTGTTTGGTTCCCCAGGCGGTGGTGGTGGCGCATGGGGTGATGGCTCCCCACAACTCCTGGTGATGCTGGAGGCCAGGCTTGACGCTTGGCATGGGTTTACCACACCGGCGGGACCCAGCACAAGAATCATGGCTGTGTCCCCTAGGTCTTGTGAGGAGAGGGGTTATTTTGGTCAGAGACAGACAGTGAGGACGGCCTCAGGCAGAGGTGCTGAAGCACCATGTCTAGGATTGAGTGACTTTGGTTTTACAGCTACAGATAGAGTGATGCTTCCATCCCCGATAAGAGGAACAGGGAGAGGGCCAGAGAAGAGGGCTTGGCCCAGACACAGGCAGATGAGACAGGGAGGGATCGTAGCCATCGAGTGTTGCGGAAATCCTTTATTCTGTCCGTGACAATGCAGAGCTTGCACGGCCGCCTCCCACCCATCCCCTCCCCTGCACAAGGCCACCTGCTCCAATCTCCTTTCTTAACGGCTCTTGGCTGCTACACACGCAGGCAGGGACCTTTGATTGTGTGGAAGCTTCTTGTTGAGAAATTTCTGAAGCTTGCTTAGCTGCTAAGGAGTCAGTTGAAAATGTCTCTCTAAAGACTAAGACGGGAGACTCCTGCTTTGGGAGCTCTGGAATAAAGGACCCTGACCTGGTGTCAGGAGAGGTGGATGGAGTTCTCACTGCTGCTCACCAGCCGTGCAATCCTGAGCAAGTTATCCTAACACAGCAACGGACTCCGACTCAGCTGCTTGCTAGCATGGTAGCCCCAGGGCGGCCAGGGTTTGTCTGTTTCGTCCCCTGCTGTAGTTCCCAGTGCCGACAACAGTAACTGGTACACGGTGGTCTTGCTGAATAAGTGAACGAGTGTCTACCTAGCACCCTGTACCAAGGATCATATGATAGTCATGTATTTAACAATGTTTTTAAGTAAAAAGTATTAGGAGAATGTTATTCAGTGCGTATGTACCTTGTAAATGTGGCATAAAAGTGACACATAGATAAGGCTAAATATGTGTAATACAGAACTTTCTTTTTCCCAGTCCCTACACAGAAATCTTAATTCCTCTACCGAGTTCCCCACACAAGAAAAGGCAAAGAGAAAAAAAAGAAAAAAAAAACCAAGTACTTCAATAAAAAGGTGGGACGCTTCAAGCGAGAGACAACTGAATTAACTTTATTCTCTTCTAACTGCAGATTCAAGGTATACAACTGAACATTGCTATTTTTCTTATGAGACTTATAAATAAAAATACAAAAAATGTTCACTACAAAAAAATCTACTGTTAGTAGGATGTAAAAAATATTCTCTTTGCTATAGAAGGCACAAACTTCACTTAGTGACACATGGAGAGAGAAAAAAACCTGCAGCAGTAAATTCATTTTTTCTTATTTTTTTCCTTTTTTTTTTTTTTTTAAATCTTGTCAGAAACACTGAAATTACAAAGAAACGCGTCAATCTACACGAAACGAAGGCAGATGCGGAAAGCTGCAACCAGGACTGCACAACTTCGAGTGAAACTGCTTCGGAACTAGAACAGATAAGGAGTGGCAAGCACAACTCGGGGAAGTGGGCTGGGGAGGGGCAGCAGGAGGCAGGAGAGAGGGAGAGAGAATGGAGCCGACAGAAATGAGAGGGGGAGCCAGAGGGAGGAGGGGAGGGCGGGAGGGGCAGACGGAGAGGGCAAGGGTGAGAGGTGGGGAGGAGAGAAAGAGAAAGAGATTGATTTGTACAAAAAAGTAACCAGTAAAATTGAAGAAACAAAATTGGGCAACCTCCTAAAATTAGGCTAAGAGGAGGTGCTGAGGTAGACATTAACTAGAACATCGATGAATTAAAAACACTATTATGTAATACAGAGCAATCCGACTGGCACTTGTGCTGTCACGACATAAGACAAGCCACGAAAACAAACAAATAACAAAACAAAACATAATCCCCAAACCAAAAGGCTTAGTTTCGCTTGGTCCAGCAGGGCAGCAGGGCCCTCAGTGCTATAATTTACATACATATATATATATATATTTATCTTTATTTATATGGGTCGGATGTCATGGTGCACCACCACGGTTTCTTAACCTTACGAAGATCATGCATAACACTATGTGAACAAATCCTATGATACACACCAGGAGGCTGGTACCCTGTCTGCGAAGTGGGATGCCAAGGGCCCAGGGAGGCCGCAGCTGCTGGCTAACCGGCCTGCAGGACCTACACCCCTCTTTCTCCCCGCCTTCTTCCCCCGACCCAACCTCTCTGGTTTGTCCTGCGCCCCTCTCCTGGCCATCTCTGCCTTTTTCCTCTCCCCATCCGTCTCACCACATAGGGTGAGTCTCGCTTTTCGTCCTCCCACTGAAATATCCAGGTAAGTGCCACCATTACAGCCAAGTCGGCAGAGGCTCCAGAAAGGAGGAGGTAAGATGGGAGGGGGAAAGATGACCACAGGATGGGCCTAGGAAAAGTGAATGGACAGAGTCTAATCTTCTGCTTTTCTGTCTCACATCCTGGTGCGCCCCCAGTTTTCACCCTAGCTCGGCTTGCCGGAAAACAGGCCCCAAAATTACCCCGACCCTGCCACCCTTCATGGACAGAGTCGAAAGGCTGCCCCACCTCTGCTCACTCCTCTATAAGGAGGTAAGCTCAGTGGCCCACTTCCGTCCACAGCAGTTGTACCAATAGCATCCAGAAAGGTACCATACACTTGTGAAAAATTGCAGCAGTTTTGTTTCTTTTTTTCTCAACATGGAAAAACTGTTCAGGCACAAAGATTAAACAAGCCCACGTTGCACCCCTTGGATTGTACTGAATCACTGGGTCCCCCAGCCTCCCTACCCACCCCTGCACCCCAGATCTGCCTTCCCCATACTCATGGCCTCCTCCTCCAAAGCAGCCCAAAGCAGCAATGATATTTACTATTTTATATCAATCTCTTGCTCTATATATATATCTATATATCTATATATTTGTCTATCCTATATATACATAGGATTTTAATGCTTTGAATGAGCGAAGGAGTGAACAGGGAAAGAGCACATGAGTGAGGTGTAAATGTCACCAAACGCATTAAGGGACACACTTGTAGGAGCTGGACACGGGAAAGGGACTATTAGCCAACGTGGCCTTGCCAGGCTGGAGAAGTTTTTCACTGTGCTGGATAAGGCAGTAGCAAGCAGGGTTGCCAGCAGTGCCACAGCTAAAGGCAGCCAGGTGGCCAAAGGAGTCAGACGGCGCCAAGAGGAGGGGAGGACAGATATTCAGATCCCACCTGGGCAGAGACCTCCCTCTACCCTCCTCCTCTCCCCTCAACTCCAGACACATATAAAGCCTCCAGACAGCCTCTTAGCTTGCCCCCGGCCACTAGGCCTTGCAACATTAGAACTGTTCCGTTGTTGTGGGTAGGAAGTTGGAGAAGAGGCATGTTAGACTCTATTCAGGTGTCTTCACGGGGAGAGGAGGGTACAGCAAATTCAGAGGTGTCCCCAAACAGTAGCCCTCAGAAACCACACTCCTCTGAGCTCTCCCCCTACCTCCCTACTGGGGTCTGCAGGGCCCATCGGGTTGGGTGGGGCGTCCGGGTGCTGATTTAGTACCATCCAATGCTGCAACACCAGATTACGACAATACTGCATGATTTAACACACAACCACACACACAAAGCACACACGCACACGCACACACATGTACAAAGGGATATTTTGGTGGTGGTGGACTTTTTTTTGTCTTTTGTCTTCCTATTCACATTACAAAAGGAAAGGGCAAGGTTCTGCAGAACTGACGAAGGAACTAACAGATACTACAAAAATATTACAATTTGTAAAGATTAGCTCAACCCTCTCAGCTTTTATGAATGGAGGGGGGAGGGGCCCAGGCTGAGTGGGAAGGGCAAGGGAGTGAGGGGGTAAGCTAGTTCTATGGAATAGTTTGATTTTTTCTCTTCCTTCCCCACCAATGTTGAATGACATCTTGCTGTTAAAAATACTGTTTTCTGGGATTTACAGATCCCCTGAGGGCCAGCCAGTCCCTGCTTCTTCCCAGACCAGAGGAGGAAGCCATAGTGCATACTGATTTCTTACAGACGGCCCCTCCCCCAAATGATTTCACCCTTTTCACATTATAAACATGACAACTGTTCTAGTCACATATTTCAAGTTTAACTTCTTTTCCTTTCCAAAACACTAAGTCGTTATTACAGTTGCAAAATAGCATCCTCCCTACTTCATCATCCCTAATCAACAGTCTAGTGACACCGTCCTCCCAATTCGCATCCTCCCAACACACAATTTTAAGGCCTTCAGATTTGGTGGATGAGATTGAAGGGGAGGGCAGGAGGGCTGGGGCCGAGGGACAGGGAGGTCGTCACAGCAGCACCCATCCCTCCGGCTTCCCTACATTCCTCGTGATCCTTCTCCCCAAGACCGCTTCCCTAAACCACTTTGTAAAACCTAAGATCAAAACGCAGCCACAACTTTCTCGGCGAGAGAAAGGAAAGAAAAAATAACAATAAAAAACTCTTACACATAAAGCATGAGATGAAACGGAGGGTCCGTCCCAAAGCAAACACGAATATTGCAAATGTGCTTTCCAAAATTCAGGAGGGTTGGGGGAGGTTGGGGAAAAGAGGGGGGAAGAGCAGCAGAGTGGGAGGCGGGAAAGGAACAAAAGAACAACTGGACAAACATAAGAGGTAGCTTTTAGAAAAACAACACCCCCGCCCCAACACAACAAAACAAAGGCTGGATCCCGCCCCCCTCCCCAAAGACCAGCCGTGAAAATAGACCAATCCTGGCAATGAGAATGCACACAGAGGTGAGACCACACAGTTGCAAGGATCCAAACACAGGCCCTCAAACCTCAATGGCCCAGCAACTTGTAAGAAAGGTGGGATTCTCTCCAGAGTGTTTTAGGCTGAACGGATGGTGGCCACAGGTGACTTCGTGCACCGGCGGAGCCGATAGTGACTCCTTAGTGCCCTTTGGGGACCATGGGACCCCAATGCAACATCCCCTCCCCACCTACGTTTTTTGCCCTCCCCGGCCCTCACATTCAGATCCTGAGTATCAGCTCCTCCTGCACAGTTCCTTCCAGCTGGGAGGCTGGTCTCCAGTGGCACGGGGAGGGTCTTGGCCAGCTGAAGTCTATAAAAACAACTGTTAATTTACACAAGAAACAGAAAAGAACACCCTCCCCATTCCTCCAAGCCCCAACCAAAAAAAGAGATACAGAGGTTAAAAAAGCTCATGAGGTCACAAAAAACTGAGGTAATTCAAGTACAATGTGCTAACAGGAGACACAGAAAAGAAGCAAAACATAACACAAGGCCAAAGCGCTTTCAACTCCTCCTCCTCCTGCTGCTCCTCCTCCTCCTGCTGCTCCTCCTCCTCCTTCTGCTCCTCCTCCTCTCCACTGTGGACCGAGGAGCGCTGTGAGTCAGGAATTCTGTGCGACTCTCTCTGGACCTGGCTTTTCTTGCTGAGCTCACTACATCTAGGGTCCTCAGTGTGACTCAACAACTTTCTCCCTTGCCCAGCTTCCGTCACCCCACGGGCTGGGTATCCTCTTCCCCAGGTGTAGGGCCCCTCTAGAGAAAGACATCCACAACCTTCCCTTGGAACATCAGCCCTTTCATGGATTCCTTCTCCTGGGACTGAAGTAGGGCCACGTAGGGACTGTGGTTTGTTTGGTAAAATATTAGGTATTTAGTTGTGATGCTTTTCCATTTTGGAAGCAGCGCAGCAGGAATCTTGCTCACAATGGGCCTGGACTAGGGTGGGGTATTGGATTTGTTTTGTGTTCTCAGAAAGCTGAGGGAAGGAGGGGCTCTGAAGTCTGAGGCAGCTGTCCCACTAGGGAACTGGAGAAGGATGGAGACACCGCCAGGCTCCTGAGGGGCTGAGACTCCCCTGGGACTTGGAGGACAGGAGTCAAGGGGAGGCTGGGAACAAAGAGCTGGGGGAGGGGCAGGGGTCCAGAGGCTCTCAGAGACCACCAGGGGACACCCAGATGTGGCAAAGCAGAGGAAAGCAGCAGGTGGGCTGAGTGGTGGGAAGAGAAACAGAGCCCTTCCTCTCCCCAGTCGGCCGCCAGCAAACTAGAGCTGCCACTTTGAGCAGCTAGTGACCCAGCCCAGCCCCATCGGCAGGGGAGCACCGTCTGGCTCCCCTCCTCCCTGCCTTCATCTTCTGGAGGTCTTGCGGGAGCAAGGCCGGCAGAGACTGTGTGGCTCTGATCAGAGGACCTCTCACCTGCTTTCTAGCCTCCGTTTCTGGACACATAAAGGAAGATCTGGGTGAAGGCAGGAGAAAAATGTGCCACCATTTGAGTGAACAAAATACCCCACCCCATCCCAGAAAATCAGGCAAACCTCCAGCCGGGAGAGGAGGGTGGAGGCCCCCAGAGGAGGGGCAGTGGCTTGGCATCCAGGTCATCTGGAGCCCAGAGAGAATCCAAGGCCAAAAAGCTATCAGGTTTCCTTTTCCTTCTCTTTTTTTTTTCTTTTCCTTTTTTATTTTTCATAGTCCTTCCTTCATCTCGATCCAACTCTTCTTTCCTGGCTCCCCGCTCGGCTCCACCGCCGCGGGCCTCCCTTCACACGTAGCACAGGTAGAGGTACGTCTTCTCTATCCTCCAGTCGGGCGGGATCTCCTCGGGCTTGTGGCCCTTCATGTGCTTCTGCATGGAGGAGAGGCTGGGGCAGTACTCTGTGCAGATGGTGCACTGGTAGGGCGAGGCGCCGTTGTGCGTTCTCAGGTGCTTGATCATGGCCGAGTAGTCCCGGGAGCGCTGGTGGCACAGCTTACACTCAAAGGGCTTCTCACCTGAGGGCAGAGGGACAGGGCAGGAGAAAGTGAGGACAGACAGAGGGCGGTGAGGGCACCATGTCACCCTCAGGCGTGCCAGGGAAGCTGGCTTCCTCCTGCTGGGCTTGTTCCAACAGAACTTTCTGGGACAATGAAGGCACCACCCAAGACGGCAGCCACCAGTCACACGTGGCTATGAACGAGGCTGCTGCGACTGGAGCTCTACAGTTTTCTGATTTTATTTCATTGTAACTAATTTAAATAGCTACATGTAGCTAGTTGACTACTGGATTGCCCAGTTCCTTGTCTTACTATTCTTAACTCTCCTAAGGCCACAGTCTTTTCCCTTTCTAATTAAGAAAATGAGTATCTAGAAAGAGAAAGACCCCACGGTCCTCAGGAATGGCTTTTCAAGCCGCAGTTCCATCCAGGGAGCAGGTGGATCGAGACCTTTCAGGGCTACAGATGGTGGGGAGCAGGGGTGGGGGAAAATTGAGGGAACCCAGTCCTTCAAATATGCCGCACCTGGGAACCTCTATCCAGCTAAAGCCTTTTTTTTTTTTTGAGATGGTGTCTCACTGTGTTGCCCAGGCTGGAATGCAATGGTACGATCTCAGCTCACTGCAACCTCTGCCTCCTGGGTTCAAGTGATTCTCCTGCCTCAGCCTCCCAAGTAGCTGGGATCACAGGTGCTGCCACCATGCCTGGCTAATTTTTGTATTTTTAGTAGACACAGGGTTTCACCATGTTGGCTAGGCTGGGCTTGAACTCCTGACTTCAAGTGATCTGCCTGCCTCGGCCTCCCAAAGTCCTGGGATTATAGGCATGAGCCACCGCACCTGGCCTATCCTGCTAAAACTGCTAAGACTTTGCCCTGGACCCTGCCTCCCTCCTGAGGCTAGAATTGGGGGTGGGGTGGGATGGGAAGGATAAAGAACCTGGGAGTACACAGCCACACCCTAGCCTTCTATACCCCAACTTTCCTTCCATAGAGTCCCCTAGAGCTGAGCAGAGGATGTGAGGGAACCTTGTTTCAATACAGTAATTAACTGGCCAGCCATCTCGCTATCAATACTCCTCCGTGCACAGGCCCCAGCAAATAATGAAGTAATGAACAGCCAAAGTGATCTAACCATCGACCAGCTATTTACAATAGTCACTGCCAATACAGTTAATGATCCACCTGCCAGGTCACATCCCCGACAAGGGGCTAAGGAAACCCCAGGGCTCTGGGAAATCCTTTGGGTCACTATAGGTGTCAGCAATGGACACCCAACCCTGTCCTTGGGGGCTCAAACTGGGGCACGAAAACTGAGCTCTGACAACACGTAGCTCTGCTTACTGCTCCTTCTGTCCACCCTTCCCCTCCAAAGGCAATGTACTTTCCTCTAAGCCAGCAGGATCTGCCTGAAGCCACCTCTCCCCCTTCCTCTGGACAGGACAGCTGTCCCCCCCCGATCAGAGGGGGTGTCTTTGTTTTCCATGTGCCACCACCTCTTACCCTTCTGTAAATCAGCCTTCCCCACAACCAGCAATGTGCTGGTGGTAAATGTTTAACAACTGGCTTTCTAAAAAGCCCTGGTTTGTAGCATCTGCTGATTGCTATGATGTGAATACTCCTACCAGGGCCAATTTTAAGCAACTAAGGTGATGTCACTGAACTTGAAGTTGTGAAGAAATGTGAAAAATTAGCTTTCACAAGCAAGCTCCAATACTCCACTGCCCCCCAACCTCGGACACTGTGGAAGACCCTTCACTTCTTTTGTCTTCTGACCTCAGGAAAAGCAGTGGCCCACATTTCTTTTTCCAATACAAAAAATAATGTGGCCGGGCATGGTGGCTCATGCCTGTAATCCCAGCACTTTGGAGGCTGAGACGGGTGAATCACTTGAGGTCAGGAGTTCGAGACCAGACTGACCAACATGGCAAACCCGTCTCTGCTAAAAAAAAAAAAAATACAAAATTAGCCGGGCATGGTGGCACACGCCTGTAATCCCAGGTAATCGGGAGGCTGAGGCAGGAGAATTGCTTGAACCCAGGAGGCAGAGATTGCAGTGAGCTGAGATCATGCCACTGCACTCCAGCCTGGGCAACAAGAGCGAAACTCCGTCTAAAAAAAAAAAATGTGAAGGCACTCTGAAATGGTAAAACATCATATGCATACAGGGATTATTAAATATATCTGCTCTTCTAATCTCAGAACCAAACACAATCTAACTTTACAATTTCCCAACTTCCATAATAACCTGATTCAATGCATCCTAATTCTTACTGTAACCCTTGAGTAACATGAAATTACCCCTAACCTTCGCTTCCAGCTAACTGGACCAACTTACCCCTAATTTAGGACTCATATACAGACATCATTTTGCATGTCACCTCTGAACTATTGGTATAGCTGCCTGGAGAGCTGGTGGGGGCTCATTGGAAAGTGTGCTGGGATTGATTAGTAATGTCTGCCTTGGCCTTGACTGGTGGCCCTCAGGCCACCTTGACTGGGGTGTGGTGGCCCTCAGGTCATCATACCAGCCCTTAATAGAACCTCTTCTACTCTTTGATTCAGCCTGGGATCATCCTCACTTAGGCTTCTCCAGGAGACCATCTGCTTCCCACCTCCACCCAGGTCCCAGAGCCAGCTCAGACCCCTCCCTGGCCTTCGGTACCTGTGTGCACCCTATAGTGCGTCTCCAGCTGATGCTTGAGGCTGAACTTCTTGCCACAGCCATTGCACTCATAGGGTTTCTCACCCGTGTGGATGCGTTTGTGGCTCTTGAGTGTGCTCTCATCCCGGAAGCAGCTGCCACAGAACTCACACTCGTAGGGGTGGTCGCCTGTGGAGACAAGCGGCTGGATCAGGCATTTGCCTCTCCCTGCCCCCTCCTCAGGGGACAGGAGGGCACATTCAGTGCATGAGAAGGATGAGACGGCCTGTATTCACCACCTCCAAAGACAACTTAGGGATCCACGGCCACACCTCCATTGAATAAACAAGCAACACCTGTGTTCACACATGTCCACACTTTACTGTGGGCCCATGATCATCTGCGGGGCAAGGGCCAGTCCTGGGAAAAGAAAGCCCATTTGGTTCAGGGATGGACAGCAGTCCCCAGAAAGCAAGCCCTCATGTGGATACATGAGACCTCACCATCTTGCTTCTCAGATGACCTCTTCTCCCCTTCCTTTAGGTTAAGAGTGAAAGTCACTCCAGCCTGACTCCTCAACCTTCAGAGAAATCTCTCCAATTCTGGGAACTTCACATTGTTCCCCAAATACCTTCTACAGTCCCCAATTTCCTTCCTCCACAGTCTCACATAGCTGTTTCCTCTGCTCGACTTCTTCTTTTCCCCCTGGTGAACTCCTAATCATCCTTCAAAGCCCAGCTCATGATACCCCTATGTGGACGCTTCCCTTTGATTCTCCAGGCAGAATGAATCACACTTTCCTCTGTGTCCCCAAAGAGAAGAAATGCCCAGAATTTTGTTCTTTTATTCGTGTGGTATAATTTTTATCACACTTTCGCATTAAAATGGCCCACATTTCCTGAGCACTCAGATGTGTGATGTGATCGCATAAGGTGATCATGGCAACAACCTTAAAGAAAGATATTATTCTCATTTTATAGTTGAGAAAAAATGAGATGCTTGGAGATGCTTCAACATCATCCCTGAGGTGAAATAGCAAGTGAAGAGCTGAGCTGGGATTCAGGTTTGGGTCTGGCCCTAGAGTCAGGGTACCATATACTTGTCAGCTTGCTGACACTGTGCTGTATCTACTGGCTTGCCCACCCTACCTCCGGCATGGAAGCACCACCGGGATAAGAAGCAAGCCTCACCCATCTTTGTAGTCTCAGTGCATTGCACAGGGAGGATCCCGAACAGACTCAGGAAATGGGGGGTCCATGAAGCTTGGAGAGAACTGCCTTTTCTTTTTTGAGGATCCCACTCTGAAATCTCCAGAGCATGAGAGGTTGGGGTGTGGAGAATAACCATCTTGCCTTTCATACCCAAAGTGGGGGACTTGGGGGATGAAAGGTGAGGACTCCAGCTACTTATTTATTACAGGAGTGAAGGCACAGACAATAAAGATAGATTGATCACCCCAGACTTTGTTCATGAATATTTAAATATCGCTGATTCGTCTTGTCACTGTAATTACAATTTCTCTGGGCTGCATCTCCAACAACCACAGTTTATGGTAAAGAATGGCCCACTGTATTTCACTTGTCCCTCTGCAGATGTGCGGGGCTGCCAACCGTGTAATGTCCTCTGCATTTCATACATTTTCTTCAGCTGCTGAAGGTTTAAGTCATCCACAATGACCTACGTTTTTTCATTATCCCCATGTCAAACTGCGCTCGTGCCTGGGCATAAATTGTCCTTCTCGTTATAGACTCGCATGCCTGTGCCTTCACTTCCTTTTTAAAATGATATTTTACTCTCTCCTCTCTCTCCCCTCCTTGGGCCACTAACCAAAGCTCCCCCTCCCAAAGCTAGGCCCCTGTACCCACATAAATTCTCATCTCTTCTGATGGCTCTGAGGGGTTTTTAGTAAGGCTCTGTGGGGAGCAGATGCTGGGATCTGATCAGTGACTTTCCCACGGGTGAAAGATTTGCAAGAAGCACCCATGCCATGTGAGGGGCACTTCCATCAAGTAATCAGATGGAAGAAGCTCAAAGAGTGGCATCGTGCCTTGACACCAGTTCACCCCAATCTATGGGGTGCTGCACTGGCTCAGAGGCTCAGCCAGTGAGTCCTTCACCTGCAGATCTGGGGATGGGCCAAGGCCTGGGGTTCTCAAAATTGCTACCTGCCCATCCTCACTGTCAAGAGCCATGGGACTTCCTGGCCCCTAGTCCCATCAAACTCAAGGGGAGTGGAGGCCTGTGCAAACCCTGGTACTAATTAGTTGTGTGTCTAACACAGTAAGGGCCAGTCTGTGTGCGTGCGCCTGAACCCACTCTCTCTCTGTGTGTCTGCACTCATAGTCCCGTCTGGTCTGACATCCAACTCCCCCTCCTTACTGAATCGGCAACGATTACGACTTTAATCAAAGATTCAGTATCCTCATTAAGGTATAAATAAATAAATAAAGCCAAGGCCACGTGAGACTTCAGCCGGAGCCGGTAATTAAAACGTACATCGGCAGTCGCCCAGCTGGGGGGAAGGCAGCGGTGGGGGGGCGGGGGGCAGCTGCCTGTGCCTTTCACCTCCAGAGGGGTCCCTAACAATTTAAAAAAACAAGGGGTTAAGACAGAGGAGTTTGTTTGATCCAATTTTTATGAATTTAATTATGAAATGGAGCACATGTTAAATGAGTTTAAATAGGAAATCTCCTGAGTCTGCCCAGGGAAAAGAATAAAAAGAATTTAGAAGGAAAAATAACAACAAAAAAAGAAACAAAGAAAGAAAAAGAAAAGTCACCAACACACACGTATCCCCATCCCGATTTGGGAGCACAGTGCGCACCTGGCGTGAAATCCTCACCCTGAGAGCTGATTGTGTCAGTGTGGCCATAATGTACACAAAACTGGCTGCAGAACTCAAAATCCAATTTGTGGTATGTTGATTAACTCTGTAGCCTCTTTAATGAGCTTGACATTAAGTGCAGGACAAACGAGACTAATTAGAGCCCCCTCCAGCCTGCCCGGTGCACCTGTGACCCCCCCACTCCCCCCCCAAATCTGTCCTTACTTGATGCTTTCTCTGGCACTGGCCAAGCCCAGTGTCTGTCGTCCTCCCCACCCCAGCCCCATCCTGCTGGCTCTTCAGGCCCCTCCCTCCTGGCCCCTCCCTTCAGCACAGCTGAGAGTTTATTATATGATGAGCCGTGTGAATCAGGGATCCATCAATGCCAAGAGCACGGCTGGACTAACCTACCAAACACAGCTGCTGATGCTAAACACCCGGCCCCAGCAGCAAATGGGCCAAGAACAACGGAATATTAATGAGGCATTGTGTGTGGGGTGTGCACAGCCTGTATATGGCTTGTGTGCACAGTGCCTCACTGGTGTGAAAATTGGTGGGTGTTTCTCTGTGTGTGCACAGGCAGCACACATGCTCTGTGTTTCCTAGAATAAGCAAGGGCTTCTCCCTAACTCTGGAAACAGCCCCTCCCTGTGGATCTGAGCCACGGCTGACACAAGGGCATGTGACATTTTCATATCTGAGCTCTGAGAAGGTGGCATGGACAGAGCAGGGCATATCCTGGGTGGATTTAGCAGGACTGAGATCATTCAAGTCACATGAAGCCAACTGGTTGGACCCAGTGGCATGCTCCGAAGTGGCTGAAAGGTATCTAGCCATCTTTCTTAAGACCAAATGAACCTGGGGACCCGTTGAGGGAGGCGTTCATAGGAAGGTGCATATACTTGCAGGGGAGACGCTTATGCAGTCGCTGCAGAGAAAGTCCTTGTCAACATCCCACCCTCCTGGGCCCTTCTTATTGAGCCCACCCCTCTGGGCCCTACCTCTATCCTATCCCAGAAATTTTAAGTAGTTCTGTGCAAATCCGGTGGTGCTAAGGCAATGTGCTCCCCTGAACAAAATGGCAGCCAGAAGTGAGAGCCAGGAAGGCTCCTTAACGAGGATACCTACTGCTGGCAGGCCAGGCCAGCTCGGTCCCTGAGAAGTAAAGCTCTTCCCTTATTTAGCAGAGCCTGCCACCCATGCAAGACCTGGTCTGCATACTCAATCTCTGAGCTGTGACAAGACTCTCAAACTGAGGAGAGGGCCTACAGTAGTTTCTTTACGTGGCATGCAGAGGTTTTTATGAGCATATGCTCTGTTACATACCCAGATGGAGACCTGACCCCAACCCTCCCTACAAACACAGCACACAAAGGCAGAGACACATGCAGACTCAGAAATGCGCATTCCTTTACCCAGGTACAGTCAGCAGAGCCCCAGTTTTGTCATAGAGAAAATAAGGAATTTAAGCCATCCACTCCCCTGTTAGGGAAGATGAGGGGCTGCTGCAGGAAAGCAAATGCCTCTTGGCCATCAGGGACCAAGTGTCCCCATCCCTGAAGCCCTAGAGGCTGGTGGCAGGGAATGGCCAGCCTCTGGGCACCTGGCCCAGCATCCTTAGCTCATAACCCCTCCCTTGTCCCATCACCTGGAACTGGCTGAGAAAAAGTATTTCATTGCTCATCGTTTAAATGCCCTCCTTGTCTTCCCTAAACAGGGTTAAGGTCCGAGTACAGGCCTTTGTTATTGTGGGGAAAGTAGGACTTCTTCAACTTGCCCTCAGAAGCCCGAAGCTGACTTCAGAAATGTGTATGGATGGCGTGGAGGGGCATCAAGAGTGGTGGGAGGCAGGGCAGACACTGTTAAGAGACCCAGCAGGTCAGTTTTCCTCAAAATTCATTTTGGGTCTACCTACACGAGAATCCCTTGGGAATACGTATTAATAATGCTGCATCTGGGACCCCACCCTGGCCCCATGGAATAAAAGTTTCTGAGAGTGGGACCCAAGAGCCTGCCGTTTTAATGAGCATCCTGTGTTGAACATGGAAAGACTGAACTGACGGTCCGCAGGAGGGGACTGGGAGAACTGTCCACATTTACCTGCATGCCAGGCAGCCCAAGCCTTGAGCAGAAGGACTGAGGGCTGACTCAGCCCACCACCTCCACTTTACGTCCTTGGAGGTAAATATAGAGACTGGCTCCCAGACACCCAAATCCACCAATCAGCTTCACTGACCTACCTGTATGTGAGCGCAGGTGGCGTTTGAGGGCCGTGTGGCTGGGGAAGGTGCGGTTGCACTCGCTGCAGATGTAGCTGCGCACGCCCGCGTGGACCTCCATGTGTTGCTGCAGTGCGCTCTGCGCCTGGAAGCGCTTCCCACACAGCAGACAGAAGACGGCCATGTCAGTGCCTGTGGGAGACAGGAAAGGGGGCGCCTCAGAAGGCTGGGAACACAAGGCGCATTCTTTACCCATCTGGAGTGAGAGCCAGTGTCGGGACTCACACCTCCAAATCCCCATGCTCAGGGGCAAATCCAGAGTTGGCCCAGGCTGTGCAACACTGAGCACCCAGTATGTGGCCCCAGGGATGGGCAAAATCGACGTCGTTCCTGAGCTCTGGAAGCTAAAGTCTAGCGGGAGAAGGAGAGACACTGATCAAATACATCACAACAGTAAGGGTAATGTGCAACTGTGTCAGGCAGTATGTGAAAGGCAGCAAAATACTAAGAGGGCAGATACCAGATGGACTTCGCAGAGTCCGGGGCAAAAAGTGGGGGAGGCAAGGTAGACCCTGTGAGGACAAACAATGACAAAGATACCATGGGCCAGCTATTGTTCTAATGTAACTAATATAAATCCAAAACTCCAAAAGCTAGCCTCTGTTATCCTCACCCCTTAGACAAGGAGACTGAGGCACAGAGAGATTAACTACTTAGGCCAAAATCCCATAGAGCAGTAGTCCCCAACATTTTTGGCACCAGGGACTGGTTTCATGGAAGGCAATTTTTCCACGTATGGTGGGGGGATGGTTTCGGGATGATTCAAGCGCATTAATCATTAGACTCTCTTAAGGAGCGTGCAACCTGGATCCTGTGAATGCACAGTTCCCTATAAGGTTTATGCTCCTATGAGAATCTAATGTCGCTACTAATATGACAGGAGGTGGAGCTCAGCTTCACTCGCTCGCCTCCTGCTGTGCAGCCCAGCTCCTCACAGGCCATGGCCCAGGGTTTGGGGACTCCTGCCATAGAGTTCATAAGTGGCAGGGCTGGGATTCACACCCACGCACCCTAGATTTTAATGCTTTCCCAAGACTAGATACAGACCCTGTTTTTGTTTTTTGATTTTTTTTTTTTTAAACTACTTCTCCACTCACTAAAGCATGAATCTTAGGTTCATTCACTCAACAAGTATTACTTGGTGCCTTCTACAAGTAACATTGTCTTTTTGGCACTGGGGATATAACCATGGAAGAGCATGCCAAGTGCCTGCTCTCATGACCGACGTTACCCTGAACACCAGGTGAATGGCGGAATCCGGAAGATGGAATAGTGTCTGTGAACACTCTGGGCCAAAGGGAAACGTGGTCGGTGGGAGGATCAGACAGAGGAATGGTGCAGTGCAGCTGGGGAAGAAGAAGAGGAGGCTAAAGGGAAAGGTAAGGGCCAGGCCATGCAGGGTCTTGCAAACCACGTCAAGAGCTTTAGGTTCCATCCCAAACCCGACGGGCAACTGTCAAATGATTGAAAGCTAGCGAGTGATGTGAGATTTTCATTTAATTCTAACTGGCTGTTCACTCCCACAGTACCCCACAAATATAGGCTGCTATTTTCTGTTTGTTACCAACCCCTTTCTGATGCTGCTCTGGAGCCATGGCGGAAATTTCCAGCTACAGCACCACGGGAGGAAGTATCTGACCTTGTGTGTGAGTCCTAACTGGCAGCTCGGTGCCCAGCCTTTTGGGCTCTGTTTTCCTGAGCACAGCAGCCCCCTGGCAGACCCATCTGCACGTCTCTGTGCTGGTACCTGGGCAATATCACCTGCACTTGGCCCCACACTGCTGTCCCCTGTGTGGGGGGCACAAGCAGGAAAGGTAAGTAGGCCTAGCATCTGTCAGCCCAGTCCAGAGTGGGTGGGGGCAGGGGGCAAAGCTTTGGCTGCTGGAAGCCATGGGCTGCTCAGCATGGAATTGAGAAGTGTCTGGTAGAAGGTAGGGGGAAGAGAAGGGATGGCACGAAGAACCTCCCTGCCTTCCTGGCCCATCGATAGAGATAGCAAGGAGAGGCCTGGTCCTCACCACCTCTGTCCCATTCATTGCTGGGTTAGGATGGACTAGTAGGCAGGCAAGGTCCACCTCTCACGGTCCCCTACACTTCTGTGTCCCTCATACTCACCCTGATGCCCCTTCCCTTTGCAGACACTGAGGTCTAAGCACCTGGAGCCACACCCCATCTCGCCAGCAATCAGGAAGGCTGAGCAGGGAATGGGAATAGCAGCCAGCACTAGATTTTTCTCCTGGCCGTCAAAAAGCAGGAAGGAAGGGGAGCAAAACTAGGTGTTATGCTAGGTGCTTTTTCTATGTTGTCAGCTCATTTAAAACTTACAATCCTACGAGGCAGGCATTCTTATCCCCCTTTTTACTAGCGGAAAACAGAGAGATTAAATAACTTGCCTAAGATCACACAGAAAGAGGCAGAGTTGGGATCTGAAAATATCTCGGTGTGTCTGCTTTCAGAAACCACGGGGTTGGGCTCAATGCTGCCTCTGGGGCCAGCTGCCCGCCTGTCTGTGCTTACCCTGGAAGAGGCCCGGTAAGGACAGTACAGAGCACCCCTGCCTCTAGTACAGCTCCAGCAATGGCTAGAGAGCCTCTGGCCAGGAGTAGGCGGATGCTGGGGCTGGGTCACAAGACATAGCTCTCTGAGGCCGTGCAATCCCACTGGGAGCCACCAAGGTCTCTCGGAAATGTTGAGTAGGGTATTCAGCTCCACTTGCTGGAGGGGGACATAATGAGAGATGTATCTTTCCGGACAGAAGCAGTGCCAAGAGTTGACAGTGAGTCTTCAATATCCCTCCATGCTTGGCCTACATACAAAGGAGCACAGTGCATCTGCAATGCGTTCTGTGCCCAGTGGCCCCCAGTTCTTCACCTTGAGGGCCCCCCGCATCTACCCCCTCTCTGCCCTTAACCCCCACCCCACAGAGAGCCCAAATTAAGCCAGGTGTTCAAACAGCTACCTTAAATCAGTAGGATTGAGTAGGCTTTGTGGGTCAGCCATGCCCTTTAAGAGCCAAGACTCCTCCTTATGCATCCTCTGAGATCCCCCGCATGGAAGGAACCTGGGCAGACGAACATGAATGGCATTGCCAGTGGGACATCTCAGCCTACACAGCCAGACCCAGAGGTGCTCTGAGGGTCAATATCACCCAGCAAGGCAGACCACGGCACTCTGCCCCCTTGGTCTTCCCAAGACCCCTAGATGCTGCCCCACTATGCTGTCCCTACTTCTCAGGGTGGCCTGAACCCACTTCATGTCCATTCAGCCAACTCACTGAGCCACTGCCAAGTGCAGGCACTGTGCTAGGTGACCAGGGGCAGGCTGAGGCTGAGCAGAGAAACTGGGTCCCAGACTAGTGGGAGACGCTGAGTTAACAACCACCCGGAGGGTAAGGCAGGGCGACTCCAAGAGCTTCTGAGATTTTGAGTTAGGCTTTTACAAGTAAAGAGTGTTTGAGAAGCAAAGGACAAGAAATTGGGACACATGTGCCAGGCTAAGGAGAGAGACACCGCTGGCAAATGTCAGAGCAGATGGGGCGAAGGTCAGGCCCTGGGGATGGAGACAAGCTGGGAGATGGGAGTCAGACCATAGAGGGCTGTACATGCCAGGTAGGACAGACTGGACTTGATTCTACAGGCAATGCAGTGCCAGGAAAGGACCAAGGGTTGGTAGGATCCTAATGTCTGGGTCCCCCTCCAATTCCTTTTTTGAAACCCTAACCCCTAAGGCAATGCTATTAGGAAATGGGGCCTGGGGGGAGATAATTAGGTAATTAAAATGGGATGAGTATCCTTGTAAAAGAGGGCCCAGAGAGCTAGCCAGCCCCTTCCACCATGTGAGGACACAGAGAAGTCAGCAGTCTGCAACCAGGAGGAGGACCCTCACCAGAACTCGAACATGCTGGCACCCTGATCACAGACTAGCTGTGAGAAATGCATGTCTGCTGTGTATAAGCCACCTAGTCTGTGGCAGTTCGTTATAGCAGCCTGAATTGACTAAGACAAGTGGTGCTAGCACGATCTGACCTGTGTTTGAAGCCGGTGACTCTGGACACACATAGGGACTAACAGCAGCAGCAAGTGGTGAGAAGCAGCGAGAGGGCTGATGTGCCACTGGAGGAGGGTAGGGACCAGACCAGGGCAGAGGCTGCCAGGGCAAGGGGAGAGAGAAAATCCTAGAAAGGTGGGACAGCCAGGGAGGAGTGGCATGCACAAAATCCCAGATGGCAAGTTCCACACCTGGCCAACAGGCTGGAAGTTATATGGTCACCACCTGGAAAGGAAATGCCATGATGTCCCTACAGTGGTCTCTCTCCCTTTCCTGGGACATTCCACAAGGTGCAGGGGTGCTCCTTGGCCACGTATCCACCAACCAAGGCTCCCAGGGGAAGAAAGGGGGGCCTCTGAGACTCAGCATCCACTTCCCCCATTCTTCTGCTTGGAGACTAACAGCTATGATGATAGAAAAGTATTTAAAAAAAAAAAAAAAGGGAAAGGGCGGGGGAGATGTGGATGAGACACAAGAAAAGCTATTGGTGCATGTGAGTTAAAAATCTAGAGACTAGATGTGAGTTATTAAACAATTTGCTGCTGTTTCAGCCTAGCTGATTGTTCGCATGTATGATGAGTCAGGGCAGATTCTATTACACTGGGAGATTAAGCAAATAAATGCTAGCTTTTGGAAACACATTAAAATGTGGGACTATGGAAATAAAATTATCTAGAAAATTGTATTAGCAATTCATTAGCTGCAGTGAGATGTGCGGCGGGGCAGGGGGGCCTGGAAGCACTGGAACACTCTGCTCCCTTCAACACCTGGGTTCTGTCCTCTGCTATGGAGAGACGTCAGGCCTGGTACCAGTGGGGAGAGGGGAGGTGCTCTGACTGGATGAACAAGACCCTCAGAAGTCAGATGGTCCGCATGACACAGGGGAAGGAAAAGAAGCAGAGGGGTCCCAGCTCTCCCATATACTTGCCTTGTGGCCCTGAGCAAGTCATTTTACTTTGCCAGATCCATTTGCTCCTTATCCACCATATTGTGGTCATCAAGAACATCGAATGAGACATCCACATGAAAAAACTTTATAACGTGGTCACAGAGCCAATGCCAGCCAAACACCACCTTCATCTGAA